TGGGGGTTTGGGATATTGGCAGTTTGGGGGATATGTTGTTATCTTTATATGTTTATGTTAGACTGTTGTATTATGAGCACCTCTGCAAAAACAGTGATAATGTGCGAGTGTGGTGAAAGTGTTGAATGATGATGAAAGTATTTTCTTTTTGGGGATTTTCTTTCTTTTTTGGGTCACCCTGCCTCGGTGGGAGACGGCCGACTTGTTGAAAAAAAAAAAAAAAAAAAAAAATATTATATATAAATATTTTATATTATATATATAATATATATATATATATATATTATGTATAAAACATGTATATATATATAGGGAAGTAAGTAGCTATAAAATGAGACTGAGTTAAAATTTTGAAAATATAAATGAATAAATAACATTAATTTTGATTTGACTTGAGTTTCATGCTAAGATATTTCACATTGTTATTACCATTCCTCCCACAGGTGCACTTCATAGTACTATTCCAGCAGAAATCTGGCTCACTGGAAGACCCCCGTTTTGAGTTCCTAGTGACAGCCAACAGCACCAATAGCGAGGAAGCTAGGCATCGTGGGGACAATGTTGCTTACAAGAATATCCTTGTTGATGTGAACACCAATCTTATTCTTTATGGGTATGTTGCTAAGTTAATGTTGGTTTTGAATAAGTGAGTCATGTGGGAGTTCTGTGATAGGTAGTGATTATGAGTGAGATGGGATATGTTTGGCTTGAGTTGGTACTGTTATATTGTGCTGCTAATCATGTACTCTGAAATAATATTAAAATAATATTAAAATGCCAGGAACAATGGGCTAGTAACCCCTTTTCCTGTAAAGATTACTAAAAAGAAGAAGAAGAAGAAGAAGAAAATTGTCAAAGTGGGATGTCTGAATGTGCGTGGATGTTGTGCGAATGATAAGAAAGAGATGATTGTGGATGCTATGAATGAGAAGAGGCTTGATGTCCTGGCTTTAAGTGAAATAAAGCTGAAGGGGGTGGGAGAGTTTCAGTGGAGAGAAGTAAATGGGATTATGTCAGGGGTTTCAAATAGAGTTAGTTAAAGAAGGAGTAGCAATAATGTTGATGGATAAGCTATGGCAGGAAAAGAGGGATTTTTAATGCATTAATTAAGGATTATGTGGAGTTTAAAAAAAAGGTTGGATGTGAAAAGTGGGTTATAGTTAGCATATATATATATGCACCTAGAGAAGAGAGAAGTGTAGAGGAGAAAGAGGTTTTGGGAATTGTTGAGTGAGTGTGTGGGGAGTTTTGAACCAAGTGTGAGTGTACTTGTGGTTGGAGATTTCAATGCTAAAGTGGGTAAAAATGTTATGGAGGGAGTAGTAGGTAAATTTGGGGTGCCAGGGGTAAATAAAAATGGGGAGCCTTTAATTGAGCTATGTGTAGAAAGAGTTTTGGTAATAAGTAATACATATTTTATGAAAAAGAGGATAGATAAATATACAAGGTATGATATAGCACGTAATGAAAATAGTTTGTTAGACTATATATTGGTGGATAAAAGGTTGATGGGCAGGCTTCAGGATGTACATGTTTATAGAGGGGGCAACTGATATATCGGATCATTATTTAGTTGTAGCTACAGTTAGAGTAAGAGGTAGATGGGACAAAAGGAAAATGGCAACAACAAGTAAGAGAGAGGTGAAAGTGTATAAACTAAGGGAGGAAGAAGTTCAGGTGAGATATAAGCAACTATTGGCAGAAAGGTGGGCTAGTGCAAGTATGAGTAGTGGGGGGGATTTGAAGAGGGTTGGAATAGTTTTAACCCTTTTGGGGTCGAGAGGCCCTCTCCTAAACTTGTTCTCAGGGTTGAAAATTTTTCGGAAAAAAAAAAAAAAGATTTTTTTTTATGAAAAGATAGAGAATCTTTTCTCGATCATAATAACACCAAAAGTATGAAATTTAATGGAAATCTTACGGAATTATGCTCTCACGAAGTTAGTGGTCTCGACGATGTTTTCGCATTGGCGATTTCGCCCACTTTGAGCCCTATTTTCTGCCAATTCCAGTGTACTAGTTGACAAAAATCATAACTATTTTGGTAGAACTCCATTTTTTCTATCGAATGAGTACAAGAAACCACCCATTTACCAATATCAACTATCCTGTAAAATGATCAGAAATTAGCAGTTTTGCCAATTTCACACAAATTTCAAAAGATGCCAATTTCCAAATAGGGTCCAGAATAAAGACAGACATTCCTGGCACTAAAATAACATTTCCTCTGTTCATTAGTCATGTCCCCAGGCCCCTCTTACATTTCTTTTGCTTTCCACTTCGAATTTTTATACTCACAAAAATTAAAAGATTTACTGTTATGCAGACTTCTGCATTAGTGTAGAAATGGTATAAATAATATCAGCGCACTTGTGAAAGAATATTAGGCTCACCAGTTGAAATGTATTGGATGCGTGGCATGATTTGTTTACTTTTGAACTTCGGCAAAAATCGAACATTTCTGCTACTTTGAGCTCAATTTCAAAGTACTTTTCATTGTGAAACCAATCAAAATCATCTCAATTTCTGTAAAATGTCTTCCATTCTATAAAATAGGACCAGGAAAACTAGAATACAACCATAAATACCATACAAAAATACAGTGCAAAGTCGCTTGTTTAAACCAAAAACACCTGGAGTTTACCTGGAGAGAGTTCCGGGGGTCAACGCCCCCGCGGCCCGTTCTGTGACCAGGCCTCCTGGTGGATCAGAGCCTGATCAACCAGGCTGTTGCTGCTGGCTGCACGCAAACCAACGTACGAGCCACAGCCCGGCTGGTCAGGAACCGACTTTAGGTGCTTGTCCAGTGCCAGCTTGAAGACTGCCAGGGGTCTGTTGGTAATCCCCCTTATGTATGCTGGGAGGCAGTTGAGCAGTCTCGGGCCCCTGACACTTATTGTATGGTCTCTTAACGTGCTAGTGACACCCCTGCTTTTCATTGGGGGGATGTTGAATCGTCTGCCAAGTCTTTTGCTTTCGTAGTGAGTGATTTTCGTGTGCAAGTTCAGTACTAGTCCCTCTAGGATTTTCCAGGTGTATATAATCATGTATCTCTCCCGCCTGCGTTCCAGGGATACAGGTTTAGGAACCTCAAGCGCTCCCAGTAATTGAGGTGTTTTATCTCCGTTATGCGCGCCGTGAAGGTTCTCTGTACATTTTCTAGGTCAGCAATTTCACCTGCCTTGAAAGGTGCTGTTAGTGTGCAGCAATATTCCAGCCTAGATAGAACAAGTGACCTGAAGAGTGTCATCATGGGCTTGGCCTCCCTAGTTTTGAAGGTTCTCATTATCCATCCTGTCATTTTTCTAGCAGATGCAATTGATACAATGTTATGGTCCTTGAAGGTGAGATCCTCCGACATGATCACTCCCAGGTCTTTGACGTTGGTGTTTCGCTCTATTTTGTGGCCAGAATTTGTTTTGTACTCTGATGAAGATTTAATTTCCTGGTGTTTACCATATCTGAGTAATTGAAATTTCTCATCGTTGAACTTCATATTGTTTTCTGCAGCCCACTGAAAGATTCGGTTGATGTCCGCCTGGAGCCTTGCAGTATCTGCAATGGAAGACACTGTCATGCAAATTCGGGTGTCATCTGCAAAGGAAGACACGGTGCTGTGGCTGACATCCTTGTCTATGTCGGATATGAGGATGAGGAACAAGATGGGAGCGAGTACTGTGCCTTGTGGAACAGAGCTTTTCACCGTAGCTGCCTCGGACTTTACTCTGTTGACGACTACTCTCTGTGTTCTGTTACTGAGGACATTATAGATCCATCGACCGACTTTTCCTGTTATCCCTTTAGCATGCATTTTGTGCGCTATTACCCCCATGGTCACACTTGTCGAAGGCTTTTGCAAAGTCTGTATATATTACATCTGCATTCTTTTTATCTTCTAGTGCATTTAAGGACCTTGTCGTAGTGATCCAATAGTTGAGACAGACAGGAGCGACCTGTTCTAAACCATGTTGCCCTGGGTTGTGTAACTGATGGGTTTCTAGATGGGTGGTGATCTTGCTTCTTAGGACCCTTTCAAAGATTTTTATGATATGGGATGTTAGTGCTATCGGTCTGTAGTTCTTTGCTGTTGCTTTACTGCCCTCTTTGTGGAGTGGGGCTATGTCTGTTGTTTTAGTAACTGTGGGACGACCCCCGTGTCCATGCTCCCTCTCCATAGGATGGAAAAGGCTCGTGATAGGGGCTTCTTGCAGTTCTTGATGAACACAGAGTTCCATGAGTCTGGCCCTGGGGCAGAGTGCATGGGCATGTCATTTATCGCCTGTTCGAAGTCATTTGGCATCAGGATAACATCGGATAGGCTTGTTGTTAACCAAATTTTGTGGCTCTCTCATAAAAAATTCATTTTGATCTTCGACTCTCAGTCTGGTTAGCGGCTTGCTAAAAACTGAGTCATATTGGGACTTGAGTAGCTCACTCATTTCCTTGCTGTCATCTGTGTAGGACCCATCTTATTTAAGTAGGGGCCCAATATGGATGTTGTTCTCGACTTTGATTTGGCATAGGAGAAGAAAATACTTTGGGTTTCTTTCGATTTCATTTATGGCTTTAGTTCTTCCCGCGATTCCTGATTCCTATAGTTTCCCTTTTAGCTTGAGTTGATGCTTGCTATTTCTCTGACCAGTGCCTCCTTCGCATTTCAGATATATTGACCTCTTTTAGCCGCTCGTTATTTTTTTCCCGTCGCCTGTAAAGGGAGCGCCTGTCTTTTCTATTTTAAAATCTACTCCTCCTTTTTCTTAGAGGAATAACCCTTGTGCATAATCGAGTCCCACCAAGTTAATCTGTTCTGGGCATACGTTGGGGTCTGTGTTGCTTAGTATATCTTCCCAGCTTATATCGGTTAGGACTTGGTTTACTTGGTCCCACTTTATGTTTTTTTATTGAAGTTGAATTTGGTGAATGCTCCCTCGTGACTAGTCTCATTATGTCGGTCTGGGGCTCCACGCTACATGTCTGAAAAACCCCAATGATGTTGTGATCTGAGTATATTGTTTTTGATATGGTGACATTTCTTATCAGATCATCATTGTTAGTGAAGATGAGGTTAGTGTATTCTCCAGTCTAGTAGGCTCTATTATTTGCTGGTTTAAATTGAATTTTTTTTGCAGAGATTTAAAAGCTCATGTGAGTGTGAGTTTTCATCAGAGCTGCCTCCTGGTGTTATTACTGCACAATATTATTTGCTAATTCCTCCATTTAGGTGCCTTAAGTTGAAATCCCCCAGGAGCAAGATGTTGGGTGCAGGAGCTGGAAGATTTTCCAGACAGTGGTCAATTTTTAACAGCTGTTCCTGGAATTGCTGGGATGTTGCATCGGAGGCTTGTAGACTACCACAATGACTAGGTTTTGGTTCTCGACCTTTACTGCTAAAAACTTCCACTACATCATTTGAGGCATTTAGCAGTTCTGTGCAAACAAGTGACTCTGCAATGTACAGGCCAACCCCCTCCTTTTGCCTGTTCACTCTGTCACATCTGTATAGGTCATAACCTGGGATCCATATTTCGTTGTCCAAGTGATCCTTTATGTGGGTCTCAGTGAAAGCCGCGAACATTGCCTTTGCCTCTGCAAGCAGTCCACGGATGAAAGGTATTT